CCTGGGTAACAGAGTGAGACTTCCTCTCAAAACAAAAACAAAAACAAAAACAAACAAAAAAAACCTCCCCCTCCAAGGCTGCCTGGCCGAAACCAAACCGAGGGGTGGTTTCACAGGCTTGCGCGGGTCCGGCTCGGACATGTGCTACCTCAGGATGCAGCGGAACAAGCCGGCCAGGGTGGGCAGCCTAGGCCTGCGAGTGCCCGCATCCCCCAGCTCCCCCCGCAGCCGGGTCCGCAATGGTCCGCTCCGGTTGCCGGCTGCGGATTCGGTTCCGGACAGAACTTGTCGCCGGGTTACTGCGGCGACCGACCGCCAGAGCAGCCTTGGCGCTATGGAGGAGCCAGGGGCTACCCCTCAGCTGTACTTGGGGCTGGTCCTGGGGGAGCTACACAGGGTTGCGGCAGCACTGCCTATAGATTCTGATCCTTATGGTTTTCCATGGGAATTGGTGATATGTGCCGCTGTTGTTGGATTTTTTGCTGTTCTCCTTTTTTTGCGGAGAAGTTTTAGATCGGTTAGGAGTCGGCTTTATGTGGGAAGAGAGAAAAAGCTTGCTATAATGCTTTCTGGACTAATTGAAGAAAAATGTAAACTACTTGAAAAATTTAGCCTTGTTCAAAAAGAGTATGAAGACTATGAAGTAGCATCATCTTTAGCGGATGCCAGCTTTGAGAATGTGACAATGGAAGAACAAAGTTTGGAGGCAACCTGCAAAAATCCGAACAGGTCCAATTCTGAACTTGAGCATGAAATACTCTCTCTAGAAAAAGAGTTAACAGAAGAGAAATCTAAACATTCTCAAAAAAATGAATTGATGGCAGATATTTCAAAACGGATACAGTCTCTAGAAGATGAGTCAAAATCCCTCAAATCACAAGTAGCTGAAGTCAAAATAATCTTCAAGATATTTCAAATGACTGAAGAACGACTGAAGACAGCAATAAAAGATGCTTTGAATGAAAATTCTCAACTTCAGGAAAGCCAGAAACAGCTTTTGCAAGAAGTTGAAGTATGGAAAGAACAAGTGAGTGAACTTAATAAACAGAAAATAACATCTGAAGACTCCAAAGTACAGGCAGAACAAGTTCTAAATGACAAAGCAAATCACATCAAGACTCTGACTGAACGCTTGCTAAAGATGAAAGATTGGCCTGGGAGGCTTGGAGAAGACATAACGGATGATGGTAACTTAGAAGTGAACAGTGAATCGGAAGATGGTGCTTACTTAGATGATCCTCCAAAAGGAGCTCTGAAGAAACTGATTCATGCTGCTAAGTTAAATGCTTCTTTAAAAACCTTACAAGGAGAACGAAACCAAATTTATATCCAGTTATCTGAAGTTGATAAAACAAAGGAAGAGCTTACAGAGCATATTAAAAATCTTCAGACTGAACAAGCATCTTTGCAGTCAGAAAACACACATTTTGAAAGTGAGAATCAGAAGCTTCAACAGAAACTTAGAGTAATGACTGAATTATATCAAGAAAATGAAATGAAACTCTACAGGAAATTAACAGTAGAGGAAAATAACCGGTTAGAGAAAGAAGAGAAACTTTCTAAGGTAGACAAAAAGATCAGCCATGCCACTAAAGAGCTGGAGACCTATGGACAGCGAGCCAAAGATCTTGAAGAAGAATTGGAAAGAACTATTCATTATTATCAACAGCAGATTATTTCCCATGAGAAAAAAGCACATCATAATTGGTTGGCAGCTTGGACTGCTGAAAGAAACCTCAATGATTTAAGGAAAGAAAATGCTAACAGACAAAAATTAACTAAAACAGAGTTTAAATTTGAACTTTTAGAAAAAGATCCTCATGTACTTGATGGTCCAAATACAGCATTTGGCAGACAGCATTCCCCATATGGTCCCTCATCATTGGGTCAGCCTTTATCTGAAAAGAGAGCTTTTCTCTCTCCTCCAACTGTGTTGGAAGGTCCACTCAGACTCTCACCTTTGCCTCCAGGGGAAGAAGGAAGCTCAGGAGGCCCAGGGAATCCTCTGGACCATCAGATTACCAATGAAAGAGAAGAATCAAGCTGTGAGAAGTTAACTCATCCTCACACGGCTCCTTCTGACACTGGGTCCCTGCCATCTCCGTGGGAACAGGACCGTAGGATGTTTCCTCCACCAGGACGATCATATCCTGATTCAGCTCTTCCTCCCCAGAGGCCAGACAGATTTTATTCTAACTCTGGTAGACCATCTGGACCAGCAGAACTCAGAAGTTTTAATACGCCTTCTTTGGATAAAATGGATGGGTCAATGCCTTCAGAAATGGAATCCAGTAGAAATGATACCAAAGATGATCTTGGTAATTTAAATATGCCTGATTCATCTCTCCCTGCTGAAAATGACGCAACTGGCCCTGGCTTTGTTCCTCCACCTCTTGCTCCAATCAGAGGTCCATTGTTTCCAGTGGATACAAGGGGCCCATTCATGAGAAGAGGACCTCCTTTGCCCCGACCTCCTCCAGGAACCGGGTTTGGAGCTTCTCAAGATTATTTTCCACGAAGGGATTTCCCAGGTCGGCCACCTGTTCCACTTGCAATGAGAAATGTCTATCCACCGAGGGGTTTTCCTCCTTACCTTCCCCTCAAGACCTGGAGTTTTCCCCCCACCCCCACATTCTGAAGGTATAAATGAGTTCCCTTCTGGGCTGATATCGCCTTCAAATGAGCCTGCTACTGAACATCCAAAACCGCAGCAAGACACCTGACAATATTTTTGCTCTCTGCAAAAGTAATTCTGATTGATCTCATTTTCAGTTTAAGTAACTGCTGTTACTTAAGTGATTACACTTTTGCTCAAATTGAAACAATGGAATTATAATTCTTAGGATATATTTTGTAAATAAGGATGATTTAAATATGAATCTTATGAGTAAATTATTTCCACTGTATTTTATTCTAGATAGTATACCCATTTTAATTTGATTAACTAATCCACTATTATAGAAACGATAGTGGGAGTTTTACATATGTAATCTTGCAGGTGGGGAGGCTTTAAATTCTAAAGGCTGTGTCTTTAAGCCAAGAACTGTATTTACTGTAGGTGTAGACAAATGTGAAAGTAACTTTATGCTTAATTAAATAAATTTTAGTTGATTAAAAAATTCAGATAATCTACATGATAACCATTCTATCACTAGCAGTATTTGCCATGTCTCCACTAAATCTCTCAAAGTCGCCGAAAACACAGCACGGCCTAACAGGAGCTCTTCGTTGCCTCTCACAGCTCCACACCACTCTTCTCTCAAGGAACAGCAGCACTGCCCTCCCAGGGCTCAAGTCAACCCTGGCATCACCCTGGACTCTGCCCTTCACATTACCCTGCCATAGCCACTCCATCAGTGAGACTGTCTGCTTTCCCTCTAAATATACAGTCACGTCTGTCTAGTATCACCACCCCACTGCCCTCTCTTGTGCAAGCCTCTGCCACTTCTCCTCGGACATACTACTGTAGCCACAAGCCTTGCCTCCCTGCCTGCACACTGACCACGCCTTTCATTTTCCAGGGCAGTGGAGTAAGGTCTAAACACATCAGCATAGTCATGTCACTTTCCTGTTTGTTTCCCTACCGTCTGGTAGCATGATAGTGGTGATCCACTCTTGGCTATGCAGAGGAGGGTAACACCCAGGGGATGGTGGGATGGGAAGGAATCTAGGTCCCTGCATATCCCCTGATCTGGGTGCCACCAGCCCTACTCCGACTGCTGACCTTCATGCTGTTCTGTGCAGGAGAATCAAACTTCCATCTTGTTAGGGCCAGCATACTTTGAAGGCTCTTGGTTACAAAAGCACCCTAACCTGCTATATTACTGTACTATACTATTACTATACTACATTACTATACCATATTATTAGTACATTACTGGGGTAACCTGCACCCTAGTAATGTAACAATTTGTACCTGGAGGAGGGGTGCGGCTGTGACAGAAACCTAAGTGGCACTGGCTTCACGGACAGGCAGTGGGTGGTGAGGAAAGAGGTGGTGCAGGGCAGAAAGCTAGTCATTCCCGCTACGCAGTAAATACATCTTTAAAAATGCTGCCTGCATTAACTGGGAAGACAGATCCTGCACTTACCAAGCCTGTGTAGCTCTAGAAGGGAAAAAAAAAAAAAAAAAAGCAAATATGCGGTATGTTGGCTGCTCACTGCTGCCCTTAGCAAGGAACTTTGAAATAAATGAGGCTGAGTAGGAACTGGCCAATTTGCAAGCAGAGGCTGAGTAAGAACTGGCCAATTTGCAAGCAGAGGTGGAAGATAAAATACAGTAACGCCAAGCAGCTCTGTCTTCCAGCTCCAATCCTGCAGTACTTCTTTCAGTTCCCCTAAGACGCTAAGCTTCTTCCTCCAACACTGTTTTTTGTCAGCTCCCATCCTACATACCCCTGGTCATCCTTCAAGTCTCACACATACCTGACGTACCCACTCACCCTGGGATCTTGTGCAAGCCTCACCATTACCATCTCATCTTACCCTCTTCTCATCGGTTAATGGACTCAGCCCAAGAAGCACTAACACGCTCAATGCGGGTAATTTTCTGCGCGTGTTCGCTCCCCACGTACTGTTCCCCAACACCCAGCCCTGGGCTTGGCACGTGGCAAGCGCTCAGTGAACAAGACTCATGAACAGTCAAGTGTAGACGGCAGGAGAAAACCTGACACGGATACCAAGCACCCGAGGTCCTGCTATGAGTCCCGGCCCATGTTTTAGGGAGCCTGGGTCTGGAGTCCCAGTAAGCGTGTGGTCAAGGTGCCCAGGTTCCGCGAGTCCGCGCAGGCGCGAAACCGGGAGGGCGGTGTCACAACCCCGCCGGAACAGGCCACGCCTGTAACGGGCCACGCCCTCCCAGGGAGGTGCGCGCGCCTGCGAGTGGCTTGGGCCAGGCCTCCTCATAGGCAGGGCCGCGCCCGCCAACACGAGGCGCGGTGGGAACCCGCCCAGGGGCCATCCGCCCTCCCGTCCCTAACGCCCAGGCCCCGGGGGCTCACCACGTCCCCCTGAACCTGCAGATCCTCCGCCCTCCGCCGCCGCCAGCGGCAGAGCGCTAGGCTGTCCATGCAGCCACAGCGTCAAACCCTACGGGCCTCTCAGGCCTGGCCGAGGCCCGCGCTCCACGCCCCCTTCCGCACACGGCCCTGGGGAGCCAATGGGGAGACTGAGGGGCGGGGCGCCGTGGAAAGCGCGAGAGCGCCAGGCGAGGACTGCAGGCAGGAGCAGTAGAGACCGGAGTCTTCTGGGAATATTGGGAGATGTGGGCGTCGTCCGTCTGCCCCAAGTCATTACTTCGCAGAGAGGTCGGCTTGTCGCTTCTCTCTTCACAGGAGCAGCCGTGGGGCTCCAAAGAAAGCATTCTTTCAGGATCCCGGCAAACTTTTGACAACAGCCGGTGGATCGGCTGGAGGAGCGCCCGCCTCCTTTGTCTTATGATTGGTTGTTAGGCCTCGTGGGGCGCGGTCTCCCTGTGGCTGGTTGGCTAATAGATGGCGCAGCGGGCCAATTAGCTTGAGTAAGACAGCGGGTGTTTCTGGGAGTTGTGGTCTGCAGGGCTGCGTTGCTTCCGGGTGGGAGCGCCTGGCGCCGCGGTGGGAAGATGCAGAGCATTCAGGCCAGCCCCGCGCGGCACACGACTGTTGTGTCTCGTGGCTGCTGGTTGGGAGGCCCCGGAAGCACTTCTTCTCCCCTAGGCTGGAGGGCACTAGGAGGTTGCAGGTGCTGAAATGCCAGGGCATTTGGGCTGTGCTGAAGGGAAAAAGCGCAGCCACTGTCGGGAGCGTGTGCTGCGAAGGTGGTTGCTGCCGTGATGTTCGCTCCGCCTGGCCCCTGCCGGGGATGCAGCCAACCAACCCTCAACAGCCGGCGGCGTTTCAGTCTCTGGCCCGGCGCGGTGCTGAGCACCACTGACCCCTCCTCGTAGGGCACCGAGTTCCGGACTCCTGCAGCCGCTTGTCCAGGCCCCTCCTGCCTTAGCACGGAGCTCCCTTGATTGCTCCAAACATCGCAGACAGGCGCCTTTTTTGCATGATTTAAAACAGGGCCAATCCGTTGCCAGCGATTGGCTGGCAATGGGTACATGACCTTGTACGGGCCAGGGAGAAGTAAGCGAGGTCTATTGAGGTAGAGTTTTGAGAAAGATTTTTCTTCTAGATAAAAAGGGAGGTGGGTGGGTGGGGGCTGTTTTCTTCCTGTTGTCGTTGCCCAGTGTAAGTTTCCTGGAGCTGCGGCAGCCTTTTTGTCACCGTGAGGGCAGCTGGGGGGAACCCTAGGAAAGCCCCTAAAGCCAGAACAGCCTGAGCCTCTGAACCAACCCACAACTGACTACCGGTCACTTTGTCGTGTGTCTGTGATGTGAGTCCATCATTCTGCAGTTGAAGGTATCCTTTGCACAAAGCCCTGTTCTTAACCATTATAGTGAAACGCATGAATCGCTCTTCGGGCTATTTGCTGCATGATCCTCAGCAAATTAAATAGTTAATCTCACTCAGTTTACTCATTTATAAAGGATAGGATAATAAAGCATAGAGATTGTGAGGATTACATGAGGCATTTACCTAGAAGATACTTAGAACAATGCTGGACACAAACTAAGTACTCAACAAATGTTATATTTCTCCTACTAGTTAGTACTCCTAGGACTAATTGTGCCACCACTGGTTCACAGCCCCTTATCAAAAACCTTTCAGGCCAGATGTGTTTGTGAAATTCAGAATTTTTTGAATGTTTAAAAAAGGTGAGATATATTGTATACCCCCATAGTCAAACAATGTTTCTATAGCAGAAATGTGTGAGTCTTCACAAATATTCATCCTAAGTGGGATATATAAAGGTTGTAAAAAGGGCCAGGCACAGTGGCTTATGCTTGTAATCCCAGTACTTTGGAAGGCCAAAGCAGGAGGATTGCTTGAACCCAGGAGTTTGAGACCAACCTCGGCAACATAGTGAGACCCTGTCACTACAAAATAAAAATAAAAATGAATTAGCTGGGCACTATGGTTCCCACCTGTAGTCCCAGCTACTCAGAAGGCTGAGATGGGAAGATAGATTGCTTAGGCCTGGAAGGTTGAGGCTGCAGTGGTTCCAGCCTAGGCAATAGAGTGAGACCCTGTCTCAAATAAAATAAATACAATAAATAAATAAAGGTTGTAAATAGTCTCGTATCAGTTCAAATGAGTTCACTCCAAGTGTGGGGAAAAACTAATTTGGAGGACTTTCTGCATTTCAGAATTGAAAATAAGGTATGTCGTAGGCCTCTAAAAACGTTTGTCTTGCAGTTTAGATTAGATGACTTGCTTTGTTACCCTTTTTTGGTATCACTGGCCTTTATACTTATGGCTGCTTTTCAGATGTGTATAAGAACAAAATTTCAACAAATTTAGTTTCAAAGATCTGATTGGCTTTTATTAGCATTGCATGCACCAGGCAGTCTACAAGACAGAAAAGTGCTCCAGTGAGGACCGAGTGGGTGAGTTTGACAGGCAGAAAAAAGTGGAGGAAAGCAGGAAGAATGAACAAATAGCAGAACAGTCATTTCAGTCATTTCAGGATTACTTCCGTTATAGAGGTGCAAACGAAATCTTGGCTTTATGTAATTTGGCTTTCATCTCTCTCCTGATTTCTCAGAAGATCTTACAAGTAAGCAACCCAGGTTTCAGTGTGGTGGCATGGATCCTTAGCATTAGTGACTCCAGTTTTGGCCTGCTGTCTTTCTTAAATGGATGCATGAGGCAACTATTTGGTAATGGGGAGGACTACTTAGCCTAGGAATGAGATACAGCAATAGGTATATTCAGAAAGATGCAGTTTAGCTTAGCACACTATTCTCCAAGCATCAGTCATGGGTACTAACTGCAAGGTGTATGCTAAACTTCTCCTATTATTTACATAGTACATTTATTTAAATTCTCAATATCTTAAGTTTGAAAAATTTTAAGAATAATACGTAACATCTATAAAATGATGGTTTGAATGCTCACTACTTTAGTATGTTAAATAGATTAATTATTAGAAGAAAATATGGGAGCCCAGGCACAGTGACTCATGCCTGTAATCCCAGCACTTTGGAAGGCCAAGACGGGCAGATTGCCTGAGCCCAGGAGTTCGAGACCAGCTGGCCAACATGGCAAAACCCTGTCTCTACTAAAAATACAAAAATTAGCCAGGCATGGTGGCGCATGTCTGTAATCCCAGCTTTTTGGGAGGCTGACGCATGAGAATTGCTTAAACCCCAGAGGCGTAGGTTGCAGGGAGTCAGGATCACGCCACTGCACTCCAGCTTAGCTGACAAAACAAAACTCTGTCTCAAAAAAAAAAAAAAAAGAAAGAAAGAAAAAAATTGGCTGGGTGCGGTGGCTCACGCCTGTAATCCCAGCACTTTGGGAGGCTGAGGCGGGTGGATCACGAGGTCAGGAGATCAAGACCAGCCTGGCCACCATGGTGAAACCCTGTCTCTACTAAAAATACAAAAAATTAGCCAGGTGTGGTGGCACGCACCTGTAGTCCTAGCTACTTGGAAGGCTGAGGCAGGAGAATCGCTTGAACCTGAGAGGCAGAGGTTGCAGTGAGCTGAGACTGCACCATTCCACTCCAGCCTGGGCGACAGAGCGAGACTCCGTCTCAAAAAAGAAAAGAAAATATGGGAAAGCTTCATGATACTGATTTCCTGCATATGACACCAAAAGTATAGTCAATAAAAGAAAAAAAATAGATAATTTGGAACTATATCAAAATTTAAAATTTTATACATCAAAGGACACTATTAATCCAGTGAAAAGGCAACCCAGGAAATGGAGAAAATATTTTCAAATCGCATATCTGATAAGGAGTTAATATCCAGATTATATAAAGAATGCCTGGCTGGGTGCGGTGGCTCATGCCCAGGAGTTCAAGACCAGCATAGGCAACAAAGCAAAACCCCATCTCTAAAAATAAAATAAAAATTGTTTCTCATGGCCAGGCATGGTGACGCATACCTGTAACCCCAGCAGTTTGAGAGGCATAGGTGGGGAGATCACTTGAACTCTGGAGTTCTAGGCCAGCCTGGGCAACAGGGAGAGCCAGGTTTCTACAAAAAAAAAATATATATATATATATATATTAGCCTGGCATGGTGGCGTGCACCTGTAGTCCCAGCTACTCAGAAGCCTGTGGTGGGAGGATCACTTGAGCCCAGGAGGTCAAGGCTGCAGTGAGTCATGATCATGCCACTGCACTCCAGCTGGGGCGACACAACAAGACCTTGCCTTAAATAAATAAATAAATAAAAACCTGTTTACGCACCACTTACTGTCATCTTGCACACCGCTTTCAAGGGAGGTCTCTCTCAGGTGGAAGGTGATTTGAGTTCAGTCCCACCCTGCCAGTTTCCAGCACCTGGACAAAGCTGCTTGAACCTCTAAGTCCCCTTCCCCTTTTTGGTGCATAAAATTGGAATAAGAAAACCTGGCACGGTGGCACATACCTGTAGTCCCAGCTACTCGGGAGGCTGAGGCAGGAGGGTTGCTTGAGGCCAGGAGTTTGAGGCTACAGTGTGCTATGGTATAACCTGTGAATGGCCACTGCATTCTAGCCTGGAGAACATAGGGAGACCTTGTCTAAAAACTAGAGAAATAAAATTAAGAATTGGGATGCTAATAGTGTCTACCTCAGTGGAATACTTTTGGGTTTTTTGGTTTTTGTACTTTTTTTCCCCCCCGAGATGGAGTCTTGCTCTCTCGCCCAGGCTGGAGTGCAGTGGTGTGATCTCGGCTCACTGCAACCTCCTCCTCCCAGATGCAAGCGATTCTCCTGCCTCAGCCTCCTGAGTAGATGGTATTACAGGCGCTCGCCACCACACCTGGCTAGTTTTTGTATTCTTAGTAGAGATGGGGTTTCACCATGTTGGCCAGACTGGTCTCAAACTCTTGACCTCTTAATCCACCCACCTCAGCCTCCCAACGTGCTGGGACTACAGGCGTGAGCCACTGCACCCGGACACTTTGGAGTTTTAAGTGACATGCTGTCTGTGACTGTGGGGTGGTGAGCACTGCGTCTGGTAAGCTCTCAACTAGTGGTAGCTGCTGTGACTGCCTCTAGTCTTTCTCCAACTGAGCACGTAGCCTTTCCCCTTCCTGGATCACATAGAGTTCAGGAAGTTCCCAGAGACATTTGACTTGGTAAT